AACTTTTTAGCTTGAGGATGTTTCATTTGTCTATTTTTGCTCCTGCTGTCATTACCAATGGGTTGAATCACTGAAGACACCTCTGAAGTCATTATCATAAAGAATTCTGCCTATGCTTTCCTCAGTTTATTTTATGGATCTAAAGAACATTTTAGCGAAATTTAATCTGTTCTGAATTAACTATTGTGTATGAGGTAAGGTTTTAATTTTGTGACTAGCCAGTTTTTTCAACTGGCTAAAGAGGTTTTTATTAAAGAGGTTTTTCTTCGCTTTATATTTCTTGCTCAGCTGTTGTAAATCAACTGTCCATATTACCAAGGCTTTATTTTTGGACTGTTGATTTTATTCCATTGGTCTGTGAATCTGCTCTTATTCCATACCACACTATTTTGATTGTTGTAGCTTTAAAGGATAGTTTAAACACAAACCATTTAATGCCTCCCAACATCTTTTTTTTCCCTCGGGATTGCTTTTCATAAAATTTGCATACAAATTTTAGTAATATTTGTTCTAAGTCTTTGAAGAATTCCAGTGGAATTTGAATGGTTTTTTGAACAGGACAGCTGTTTTGACAAATTAATTCTTTCATTACATGAAATATTTTTCTATTTCCTGATATCTTTTCTATTTCTCGAATTTACTTAAATGAAAGTTACTTAAATGGAAATCTTTAAGATGCTTGAAGAAAATTGAGCACCCCACAGTGCAGGCCAGTTAGGTACACAACTCAGACCTGGAGGTGATGGGGGACCTCAGGATTATACTCAGTGGTGCTCTGTGTGTGTGTGTGTGTGTGTGTGTGTGTGTGTGTGTGTGTGTGAAGGGGTTTTGCGGGAGGAGGGTCGGGGGCAGTTCCAGGGATTGAACACAGAGCCTCCTACATATTAAACATGCTATCTACCTATTCCCAGAAGAACTTTGAAGAACTAGAGATTTATGGTCACTGGAATCCCCCTTTTTTTGCTTTTTGGGTCATACCCGGCGATGCACAGGAGTTACTTCTTGCTCTTTACTCAGGAATTGACTCCTGGCGGTGCTCGGCAGACCATATGGGATGCTGGGAATCGAACCCAAGTCAGCCGCGTGCAGGGCAAACCCCTAACCGCTGTGCTATCGCTCCAGCCCCTGGAATCCCCTTTTAAACTTCAATGTGCATGTATCCTTTGTTTATAATTATGATGATTGACCGAACATTTCAACCATCAAAACACATTGATGTCCTCTGGGTGACAGAAAGAAATCACTTCAGGGAGAAACATGGACATCTTGGGGAACCACTGTCCCATTTTCAATTAATGTGGGGGCATCTCCAGCAGTGCTGGGAGACACCAGGGCTATACCACATGGTATAGGAAGACCCTGTGGTTCTGGGAACCAAATCTGGGCCCCTATGTATGCCAGACATATCTCCTCAGCCCCAACACTTTCAAATTTTAAAGAAGGGCTTATTTCTGTTGTTTCGAAGTGGATAACGTAGATGCTACATCACTCTCATCACTGTATGTTATATTGTACTAAGTTTTTAAAATTCCAATGTTATTAAATTCTTATAAATTCTTATTTTGGGGGGTAGTCATTTGGCCACACCTGTCAGTGCTCAGGGGCTCATATGTGGTGCTAGCAATCAAACCCAGCACCGGGTGACTCTAACATTATCTATCCAACCTCTTTATATCGTTCCTAACTTTATTATTATTTTTTAAATTTTATTTGCTTTTTTTGGTCACATCCAGGAATGCTTAGGGGTTACTCCTAGCTCTGCACTCAGGAATTACTCCTGGAAGTGCTTGGGGGATCATATGGGATGCAAGGGATAGATCCCGGGTTGGCAGTGTGCAAGGTAAATGCCCTACCCACTGTACTATCTATCCGGCCCCTCGTTCTTAGCTTTAAACGTCAATATATACAGCATTTAGAAGTTCTATCTTTAGAGAGTAGAACTATTTAGACTTCAGGTGAAAAATAATGTCAGCTTAAAAACTAGGCAAGGAAGCATGCCAATTTTCAGAATTCCTACAGAAACAGATCAGGAGCAGGTGTCAGGGGTGCTGGGCGTGAAAAGAGCAGGAAAGCCTGGGTGAGGGCATCGAGGGTTCCCCATGAAGGACCTGGCACGAAGCCCGCCCTCCTCCCCATTCAGCCTGCGCCAACGGGTGCTGGCATGGCCCCACGTGTGCACTGTTGCTTCTATGTAAGCTTCTATGTAAATGCACACTTGCTGTTTCCAGAGCAGGAAATTCTTCAACCATGGGCGCTTTACAGAAGCTGGGTCTCCCAAGGAAGGACACATCCAGCCAGGTTCCATGGCACCCATTGGAACAGGCACTGAGGAGGCAGAAGGCGGGCGTTCATTTCAGTGACAGGCCTGTTAGGTACTGGAGTATCTTTATCCAAATGTCTCCTGAGATGGAGACTTCACATTGCACGGCCCCATCTTCTGGATATCTGTGATGCTCACAAAGGTTTACTTAGGCAGATGCAGTGGCTGTTGGAGATGACCAGATTGAGTGGGAACATTATTCCTCTCAAAGACTGCAAGAACACAAATCAGCAAGTTAAGCTATTGTGCCAGTAGAGAAGACTTCAGAAGAGTTTATTTCCTCAGCACTGCCTGCAGGAAGGATATAGTATCTTCTCTTGGTTGTGAACTTGTTTGCAGTGTCCTTGCTCTCAGGAGGGAACTGCCTGGGGTTGGGGAGGTCCCTAGCGCCCACTCCATTACTTCGGCACCCACTGCAGTGACACCCCTGAAGAGCACAAGCCTGAGGGGCCCTCAGCTGGAAGAGGCCCAACTGCAGACGTTTCTGGACCTAGGGCTGAGGGAGTGAGTCCTGGCCAGCCCACGTTGCTGTGTGTGTGCAAAGCAGAGGCGGGCTCGGAATATCTTGTTGGGTTTCTGTAAGACCAGACCTTCAGAGAGTTCAGCACTATGTTCTGAGGGATGAGTCCAGGGAGGAAATGCGGGTGGGGTCCAAGAGGAGGTGCTGATAGAGGTCAGCAGGAGCTAGCCATGCATGGCCGTCTCTCTGTCCATTATGCCTTACAGATCTACCACTTCGTATGGCTGCAGAGCAGTTTGGGGTCAAAGGGGCTGCTTAGTTCTCCAAGGGGTGGGGGGATGACGTTTGCTCTCTATTTTGCTGTCTTACTCATCTGTAACAGACTTCGAGTATTTGACTTGGCAGCTGCCATTTCATCCCTGTGCCCGGCTCTGCGTTCTATCTTGGTACTGAGACTCCCTGGGAAGGTGAGAGGGACAGACAGACAGACAGCATGCCCAAGAAAAGGGTGCTGGGGGACCCTTTGCTCATCACCGTTAGTGACTTCATAGAGTTTCCCATGCCATCTCAAACACCACTGACTGTAAAACGGTTTCCCATATCTGCCAAATGAAATTGTGAATGATTGCTTTCTTAGTACTGAGAATTTATTCGATATGCCAAACACAGTAACAAAAAAGTCTCCAATGGAGACGTTACTGGGCCCGCTCGAGCAAATCGACGATCAACGGGAGAGCCTTTACTTGGGCTGGAGCGATAGCACAGCGGTAGGGCGTTCGCCTTACAAGCGGCCAACATGGCCGACCCGAGTTCGATTCCTCCGCCCCTCTCGGAGAGCCCGGCAAGCTACCGAGAGTATTCGATATGCCAAACACAGTAACAACAAAGTCTCCAATGGAGACGTTACTGGGCCCGCTCGAGCAAATCGATGATCAACGGGAGGGCCTTTACCTTTACCTTTACCAAAAGGTCAATTTTGGATGTACTTAAGACATGGGGTCACCGTCTTAAAAAAAAAAAAAAGGAAGACGGTGATCTCAATATCTCATGGTGATTCAACTAAAAAATTAAAATTAAAAATTAAAAATAAATACAAAAAATTTAAAAAGGGAAGACAATAGGGATAAATCGCTTGGGGTGTTCACACTCAAGGTACTGCTCATCTGTCCAGTTTTTTTTTTTGCTTTTTGGGGTCACACCCAGCAATGCTCAGGGGTTACTCCTGGCTCTGCACTCAGGAATTACCACTGCAGTGCTTGGGGGACCACATGGGATGCCGGGGATTGAACCTGGGTCGGCCATGTGCAAAGCAAACGCCCTACCCGCTGTGCTATCACTCCAGCTCATTTGTCCCTTCTTTGATCTGGGAGTGCTGGGTCCCTTTCTCTGGGATACACAGCAGGATGGGGCAGCACGTCCTACAGGAGCTCTCCTGATCACCTGTCCTGACCTCTGCTTCTGTCACTGATGTGCACACAGAGAACATCAGCCATGGGACAGTTGCCATGTGGAAACAGAGACTTTCAGCCACATCCCAGTTTTCAAAGATCACCATGGCCCACTGGCCCTATCTATTCCAGGCAAAGGGTGCTGGCGCTGGGCTATATGCTTGTCCCAATAGTTTCTAGACCAACGGATATTGTGGGAAGTTCTCTCAAAGCGAACTATGAGAAAGGCCTCCTGCATACATACAGGAAAGGACCTATCATGCCTGGACCCAAGGCATCGGCTTTCCGAAAGTGTCCCTTAGATGGTTCGGAAGGTAAAGAAGCATGGCCAGTGCACAGGACTAAGGGGTTTGGGGGTGGGAGGGATGGGGCTCACTTACGCATTACAAAATGACTTCAGAGTATAAATGTGGGATTTTTTTCTCTTAATGTTTGATGGGCTGGAAAGATAACTCAAAGGACTGTGCATGTGGAGATACGAATGGTCCCTTGAGCACCACTGGGTATGGCCTGGAGGCCCCTGGCACTGATGGGCCTAAGCAGAAGCACAATTGGAGGCTTAATTACCATAAAAAACCCACACAGACGGCAGGTGGTGGGGGCGGGTAGGAGTGTTGTCATCCCTGAGCCCTGCTTGGGAGCCACGACCTCCACTCCCAGCCAACCAACCACCAACCAGCGAAAACAACTTCAGGTTTGTGTGTATCAGCTCTAGCAGCATTATAAACGGGGTCCCCTACTCCTGTAACTCCTCGCTCTTTCCTCCCCGCAGGTCCTGATGCATTCAGCTCCAAGAGCCTCGCCCTCCAGGCCCAGAAGAAGATTCTCAGCAAGATTGCCAGCAAGACCGTGGCCAACATGCTGATCGACGACACAAGCAGCGAGATCTTCGATGAGCTCTACAAGGTCACCCAGGAGCACACGCACAGCAAGAAGGAAGCCCACAAGATCATGAAGGACTTGATCAAGGTGGCGGTCAAGATCGGGGTCCTCTACCGCCACAACCAGTTCAGCCCTGAGGAGGTGGCCATCGTGGAGAAGTTCCGGAAGAAGCTGAACCAGACGGCCATGACCATGGTCAGCTTCTACGAGGTGGAGTACACCTTCGACAGGAACGTGCTCTCGCAGCTGCTGCACGAGTGTCAGGACCTGGTGCATGAACTGGTGCGGCGCCACCTCACACCCCGCACCCACGGGCGCATCAACCATGTCTTCGACCACTTTGCCGATGTGGGCTTCCTGTCCACCCTCTACAGTCTGGAGGGAGACTGCAGGCCGAGCCTCAAGAGGATTTGTGAGGGAATCAATAAACTGCTCGATGAGAAAATCCTCTGAATGCCTTCCCTCGCCCGCTGCCCCCCCCCCACCAGCCCCCCACTCCCCTCTGTGTTCCAGTTGCAGTGCTCCTGCAAGGTCTGGGTGAGACTAGCGAGGAGGAGGAGGAGGAGGAAGAGGAAGAGGAGGAGGAGGAAGCTTGTGGCAGGGACCTTGTGTTCTGTCCTATTCGTCCCTCTGATGTTGCCGTCTGTTGGGTCCAGGAGTGCTCATCTCCTGAGCTCGCTGACAATCTCCTGTGTCTGCGCATCGCAGAATGTTCGATCTGTCCGGGCCAGAAGTCTGCCCTGTCATGCTCACATCCTTGTGCTGGAGTCAGAGGACACAGAGGAGGTCTGTGACTTCGGGGTCAGCGGAGACAGACAGTGGCGGCCACAGGGCTTCCCATTTTCTCTTCCCAGGGCGAGAGGTCAGCCTGGCTCAGAGAGGAAAATAACTTTCTCAAGGGCTGGGCTTACCTTCTGTGTCTGGACGTGCTGTTCCCAACTAATAAGGAATCCAAAGGTGTGAGAGTATAGCTGCTGCACCCTGGAAAAACATGCACTTCCTGGGCCATGGTGGTTTTTGGTTTTTGTTTTTTTTTTTTTCAGGACTCTGATGTGCAGTTCCTGCAGAGGGGAGCTTTCAGGGATGGCAGGGTGAGGGTACAGAGACAGGATGACCCCCAAGAGCAGGCATGGAGAAGCACCTTCTAAGGGTCCCAAGCCCAGAAACATAGGGAGGGTGACTCTGGCACGCGTGGGGAGAGTCAGCAGAATGGGCCCTGATCTGTCTTTCTTGGCCTTTCATTGTGTGCTGTTTTCTCTGGTTCGTTAAATAAACCGAAATGACCCTTCAGATGAGAGGTTTGAGTGTTGTGATTCAAAAACCAAAACTCTGGGGCCAGAGATGTGGCTCACACAGATTGCTTCATGCCGAGGTTCGAGGTTCACTCCATAGCCCTAAAAATCAAAAACAGAACAAAAAAGGAAAGCCTCATAGTTCCTGGTGACCAGTCGATGCATAAATTGATAAAATTACTAGTAGTGGGGCTGGAGCGATAGCACAGTGGGTAGGGTGTTTGCCTTGCACCTGGCCGACCCCGGTTTGATTCCCAGCATCCCATATGATCCCCTGAGCATCGCCAGGAGTAATTCTGAGTGCATGAGCCAGGACTAACCCCTGTGCAACACTGGGTGTGACCCAAAAAGAAAAAAAAATTACTGGTAGTTAGAATCAGTATTTAAGGACAAGGGTTTCGATTCAGAGAGCTGGTCCAAAGAGCTGAAGTGCATGCTTCGCACGCAGGCACCCTATCTGGACCCCCGGCACCATCTGGACCCCATCGAACCCACTGTCAGGCTCTCCCAGCCGCATGCCCAATGCATCTTTCCCGATGCATCATCGTCTTTACAGGCATTGGGCCATGTACTTATGCCCCTATGAGGTGGTCAGGAAGTGACCACATTTGGAGATCTTCTCCTCCTACACGGCTGCCTCCTGTCAGATGACAGTGAGAAAATACCACGTGAACGCAGCCCCCAGCTCTCCCCTCCCTGAGGGGCCCTGCACAGGAGCACTGGGGATGGCCGGAGGGAGCTGGGAGCAACACACCATTGAACACTGCAGGGAATGCCAGGACACACTACCAGAGATGTTCTTTAGCTATCAGAACTCAAAATTCATTCACCTAACTTGACTCCAAACTAAAGCACTCCCTTATCTCAACAATAACATGGGTCTGTTTTAAAGACAGAGGAGAAGGCAGGACAGAAAATGAACTCATTCACCCATGTGACTCCAGGGCTAACCACCCCCTCTAAATTCTCTGGAGGACCTTTCTCCCCACCCATTCCTGTATGGTGACAAGCATCCTTCTCCCGTGGGAAATGCAAGGCGTGCTGGGTCCTGTAGTTTGCTAATGTATGTATGGGCTCTCTCTAGCCCCCACCCCCCCATTGCACTTGAATAGGGATTCTGTATATTAACGCTGAAAGCAAGGAGGATGCCCACTGGGGAGTCAGGGACAGTTGTTAGTCCCCTGGTCTCCGTGTCTCACAAACATGGCCTAGCCCTTCCTCACAGATCCAGCAGCCAAACAATGAATGATATTTGTTCGTTTGACCTGGAAGGGCAGCACTGGCAAAGCAGTAAGCTGAATTTTCATGTCGACTTCTTAAAATCAGCCTTGGGATGCATGTCTGATTAAACAATGACTGCTTCAAAGGATTGTTCTAGAAATAGGATCTATTTTTTTCTTTGGAGGAGCCATTTCCAGTGGTACTAGGACCTGGTGGTACTTAGGAGCCAGCAGGGCTAGTACAGGGGGAGTTCAAGGGGTCATGCCATGCCAGAAATTGAATCCTGGGCCTTGCACATGCATGAAGAGTATTCTATCACTGAGCCACACTCCCGGTCCTTAGATACAGGTGCTTTTCTCATTAGGTAAGTAAGCCTTTCCAGACACCTATACTCAAAAATGAATGTGGGGGTGTGTGGGGAGGGGTGCTGGAGAGACAGTACAGTGGTTCCGGTGCTTTGCCTTGCAAGCCCAGGTTCAATCCCACAAGCCCCACTTGGAGTGATCCCTGAGCACAGAGCCAGAAGTAAGCCTTGAGCACTATTGGGTGTGGCCCAAAATGGAAAAAAAAAATGAATGAGTGAAACTCCTCCGTCCATCTGCCACACCACAGGGAAACAGGGATCTGGCCAAAGAGGGCTAAGGCACTCTCCATTCTACAAGTGCCATATGGCACCAGACAGGGCAGCAGAGGAAAGATGAATAGATTATGACCGTCTGTGGGTCTCGAAGGAAACTTGAATCTTCCTTGCTCTGGTTAGAGAAGGATGAGCACTTCCACTAACAAGTCTCAGAAAATGCAATTGCAAAGAAGAACAAAGTCCATTCTACTGCACAGGTTTCCCTGCTGAGACAGTAAGGGGTTCTATGCTCCAAAACCAGCTGGGGCTATCTCCAAGTGAAGTTGTTGGGCTTCCTGCACTCCAGAAGTCACCTCACCCCCAAAACTAGACCACTAAGAACAACCCCAGGTACACACTTCCCACCTGCCTCTGGCACGTAAATGCAAGAGGTTCTTGAGCATCACCAACCAGCTGAAAGGCTCACAGATCTCAATATTTTATATAAAAATCCAATGACCAGGGGCTGGGAGACAGCATATAATTAGGGCACATGCCTAGCATGCACCTGGCATGAGCTTGATTCCCAAAGCTGGGTCCCCTGAGCGCTGCTGGGTGGAGGCCTGCAGCACCATGGGGTGTCTCGGTATTTTCAGGACCAGCATTGGCCCCAGCAGCACTGCACCCTGGGGTCCTGGTATGGAACTAATGGCTTGGTTGGCCGAGAATTGATGGTTGGGCCCTGTGGGGCTGAGCACTGCTAGGGAGGCCTAAAAACTACAAATAAATAAGATTAAATACTTTTTTTATGTTAAAAATATAGATTTCCCCACCGCCCCCCGAAAAAATATTTTTATTCTTGGTTCATCCTGAGGACTCCTACCATGTTCTTTTTCCGCCATTTATTTTTTTAATTGAATCACAGTGATATACACATTTACAAAGTTGTTGATGTTTGGATTTCAATCATATAATGTTCCAACACCCGTCCATTCACCAGTGTATATTTCCCAACACCAATGGCAGGCTACCAAATATAACATGCCCACACGGCAGAGTCTGGCAAACTCCCCGTGGTATACCCAATATGCCAAATGCCAGTAACAATGATGGGTCTCATTCTCCTAACCCTGAAAAAGCCTTGAATATGGCACTTTAAAAAAAAAAAATCTCAGGGCTAGGATGAAGAAGACGTTACTGGCACCTGCTCGAGGCAATCGACGAACAACAGGGTGGTCGTGGTCGAATGTTCCAACACCCGTCCATTCACCAGTGTATATTTCCCAACACCAATGGCCCTAGTTTCCCTCCCATCCCCATATCCCCACATCCCACTGTCTGCCACTGTGGCAGGCACTCTCTCTCTTTCTCTCTCTCTCTTTCTGTCTCTGTCTCTCTCTGCCTCTCTGTCTCTGTCTGTCTGTCTCTCATTCTCTCTCTCTCTGTCTCTCTGCCTCTGTTTGTCTCTCTTCCTCTCATTCTCTCTCTCTGTCTCTCTGTCTCTCTCTCTTCCCCTCCCTCCCTCCATCCCTTCCTCCCTCCTTTTGGGCCTTATTCCTACCATGTTTTTGCCAGCCAAGAAAAGCCGAAATAAACAAATGGCGCCCAGGACTCCTGGGGCCCAAAAGCTCTTGCCTTGCACACAGCTGATTACATTTCAATCTCCAACCACATATAAGTCCCCTGAGCACCACCGGGTACTCCCCCATGCCCCCCAAAAATACCCCCACAAAACCAAAAACAAAACACCCAAAACTGTGCAGACATGCCTTTATGGTCACGGAAGAAACTTCCCAGTAGTGAGAACCCACAAAAGCAGCTGGAGTGTCGTCATGCAGAGGGCTCCCCCAAGAGAACTGAGTTCAGGGACTGGAGCAACAGTGCAGCAGGGAGGGCATCTGCCCTGCATGCGGTCGACCCGGGTTCAATTCCCAGCATCTCCTATGGTCCCCTGAGCACCGCCAGGAGTGATTTCTGAGTGCAGAGTCAGGAGTAACCCCTGTGCATCACTGGGTGTGACCCAAAAAGCCAAAGAGAGGAGAGAGAGAGAGAGAGAGAGAGAGAGAGAGAGAGAGAGAGAGAGAGAGAGAGAGAGAGAGCGCTGAGTTCAAAGCAGCATCAGACAATCAGATCACTCGGCCAGAGGCCCCGGGGCGGCTCAGTGGCACAAGGCCTGCCTTGTCCTTCCAATGCCACAGCACGTCCGTGGGTGACTCCGAGCACCGCAACCACGTGAGCACAAGCACCGCGGCAGGAAACGTGCAAGTCCCTAGACACCGAGGCAGAGGAAGGGGACGCCGTGCAGCTCCCACCGCTCGCTCACTCCTGAGAGATGTGCATGGTTCAGAGCGTGACCCGGGGAGGCGGTGCCCCTGCTCTAAAGGAGACGCTGGCAGGGACAGCC